TTCCCAATAACCAAGGCTTGAAATCTCAGAATCATCCTGAATTCTTTCCTCTTTGATTCTAACATCTAATTAGATGCCAAACTGCTAAGATCCGCAGCTCTCTCTCATTACTGTATCTTTCTTCCCCTCACCACTGCCATTATCTCTTACCTCATAACTTACCTACCATCTAAATTACACACATTATTGCCAGTAAAATCCCTAAAGCCACAAATCTGTCCATTTTGCATCCTCTTCAAAACATTCAATTTGTACAGAAAGAAAGTTCAAACACTTTGCTCTAAATAATTTGGCCACAACCTACCTTTTCAATATTTCTCCCATTATAATTCCTCATATTTCCTATACTCCAGAAAGCTAAATTAATTGTGGCTCTCCAAATATACTCTGTAGTTGAACAATATTGCACCTTTCCCCCATTATTTTGAAATTTAGTTCATTTCCTTCCACCTTCTTAGATAGCCTCTGAAGCAAAAACTATTCTGATACTAGCAGAACTACTGCACCTCTTTCTGGTAACACTTAATATTTTTCTTTTTGTTTTACATATATAGCAATATACATAGTCATTTCATGGTATCTGTGGGAGACTGGTTCTACAAACCCCCACGGATATGAAAATCCATGGATGCTCAAGTCCCCTATATAAAATGGCACAGTATTTGCATATAATCTATGCACATCTCCCCATATACTTTACTTTATCCACTGCCACTGGCTCCCTTCTCTCATATACTTTAAATGATCTCTAAATTACCTATAATACTTAATACAATGTAAATGCTTTGTAAATAGTTGTTATGCTGTATTGATTTTTAAATTTGTAATATTTGTTATTGGTTTTTTTCTTTTTCACAATAGTTTTGATATGCAGTTGGTTAAATCCACAGCTGCAGAACCCAAAGATACGAAAGGCTGACTACATATGCCTTTAATCAACCATTAATCAAGTTTTTAGGAAAATAAACAAATTATCAAAAAAAGCTGGGTTCTTTTGTTCATGAAAATAAAAAGAGAACTCACAATTCATACCAAGGCCCATAACCCAGGTAGGAAAGGAAGCAGACAGGAAAATAATTTGCCCGAATCTTAACAGAACAGAGAGGAGGAACATGGGCTGCATGGCACAGGGAACGCGTGGTTTCACGAATACAACAGAATTTATAGAGGTAGCAAGGGTAGCATGCTGACCTTATATTCTACAATGATACCAACTTCAGATGAATCAAAGCACCAAATAAAACTGTAAAAATCTAGAAGAAAACACAAAGGGGAAAACATCTACTTGTTTTTGAAAGGGAAAAGCATAAAAGCCAAAGGAAAAAAGTCATAAAGGAAAAATAGGATCAATTAAAAGTTTAAAATGTCTACATGATTAAAAATAACAGAAAAATTAAAAAGCCAATTATTAACTTAGAAAATATTAGGCATATATGTATGTACCTCTGATACAGAGAATACAAGCCTAATAAGAAAAATGCTGATACTCAAATAGAAAATTGGACAAAGGATATGAAAAAGATAATTCAGAGGCAATAAAAATACGAGCTATTAGGAAGGGCAACCCTCAAGCCCTCAATTTTCCTAAAAGTCCCCAATTCAACAATAAGATATCTACTTACAATTTATCAAAATAAAAAATGGGTTTTTCAAAATACAACACCTAGAGATGGACAAAAGTAAACTAAAACGGGTACTCAATATAATGTTGATGCAAGTACAAATCCATGCTTAAAAAACGTTCACATCTTTAATCCTGGTAATTTTACTTCTAGAAATTTATCTTTAAATATTCAGAAAGGCAGTCCAATATTTCCTTACAAAGATATTATCCACAACACTGTTAATAATGTGAAAAGTAAAAAATATCTTAAATGTCCAGCAACAAATGGTTAAGAATAGCACATCCATACCATCAGGGATTGTAGATATGCTAGCAGTAAAAATCACATGTAACTATTAATGACTATTTAACGACATGGAAAGATGTTCACAGTGTAATGTTAACCAAGAAAAAAAAGATTACTCCAGTTTCTTAAAAATGTACTTAGAAAATAAGGTGGTAATATTAACACTAGTAATTAGCACTGGGTAGTAGAAGTGACTAATTTTCTTTAACCTTTTCTGTATTTTTTATGTTTTCTACAAGAAGTATTTAATATAAACTAAAAGTTATAAAAAGGATATAAATACATCTGTTAGGTTTTGTTTCAAGTAGAACTAGGCAGTGATTAGACTAATAGATTAGAAGATGAAAATGTCTGAACTAGGTTTCAGAGGAACGGTCACAGTGGGGTAGGAGAGTTCATAATATGGTGTAAATTGGTGATACATATAAATTATCACCAACTACAATATCAGTGTTTCTCAACAAGAAGCAAAGCAGTGAGACACAATGGGTAATAAACTAAAATTTAGTCAAAATCAGAAAAATAGCCAATGGGTACCAAGAGTAAGCCTTTCTTTTTCTGTGACCAGCCAGCCTTCAATCTAGAATACAAAATGCTTACTTTCATACCCAGGGGCAAGCAAAAGCATCCGTTTCAGGATAAAGTGACTGGATTAATCTAAAGACCACAGATGCCCCCGTTATAAAAGAGATTATCACAGAACCACTAATAAAGAGGATCCCTGGAACTGGCAATTTTAAGTACCAGAAAGGCAGTCTTACTAGATGACATTGAACAAGATGCATGAAGTGTCCATGACACAGCACTCAAATGTTACACTTTGATGGTTTGGTTTTTTGGTTTTTTTTTTGAGACAGAGTCTCACTGTGTTGCCCGGGCTAGAGTGCCATGGCGTCATCCTAGCTCACAGCAACCTCAAACTCCTGGGCTCAAGCAATCCTCCTACCTCAACCTCCCGAGTAGCTGGGACTACAGGCATGCACCACCATGCCCGGCTAATTTTTTCTATATATTTTTAGTTGTCCAATTAATTTCTTTCTAATTTTAGTAGAGACGGGGTCTCGCTCTTGCTCAGGGTGGTTTCGAACTCCTGAGCTCAAACAATCCGCCTGCCTCGGCCTCCCAGAGAGCTAGGATTACAGGCGTGAGCCACTGCGCCCAGCCGATGGTTTGTTTTTAAGTGAAAAGGTTTACTCATTTTTTTTCATTTGTTAGTATAAATATCACTTTGTATAAAAGTCCAAATCAAATATTATTCTCCTCCTGGCTAAGTCTGCAGATAATTAACTGTTACATAGACAGAAATGGCCAATTATGGAGACCTCAAGTACAATAAAGTTTCTGTTTTGCTTAAATTTCTGTTTATCGTGCTACCATCATCATAAATGTATAATAATGTTCAGTTTAATCTGAACAAATTCCTTGATATAGCATTCATGTTCTAATAAACATTCAATAAAACAAATAGGATTAAGAAATTACTACAAGGTTAAATCACTATATAGAACCTGTACCTTAAAATATTTTTATCCTATGATTTGTAATTCTAAGTTTTATTTCTTCAGAGTCAGTAATTTCAAGGAGCGCAATTTAAAATTATCGTTACCTGTTTAGTAATATCCTAAAAATACATCTACAGGAGATAGATTTATCATTAAAAGTATTGTTTTCCTTCATATTCAAAGACCAACAATTTTTAAAACAAAAGGATCCTTAGAGATCATTTACTCCAACTCTCTTATTTTGTAAGTGAGGAAACAGATATAGAGAAGTTAGAACTAACTTTCTGAAAGACATATAGGTAGTTTCTAACACAGCTTCTAATTCAATGCTCTTTCTCAGGTTAATACCTTTTAGAAATAGTTTACAGAACAGTTAGAATAATCTCATAAGTCAGTAAGAGTTTTAATTATTACACACTGATCTATTTCCTATACTAGGTAAACTCATCTGTTTAGAATAATATGAGCTGAATATTTTTGGATACTCTTGGCAATAAAAGTCTAATGTTAAATAACTTTTTCTGATCAAGAGACTAACAGCCTTGTATGCTTAGAAAACCCTTTTATACATAGCTTTTAAATACCACACAATTATTAAGGAAAAGGAAGAAAATTACATGGTTTGATAGTGTGCAAATACAGATTTTAGTTTATATTTAATCTGCTTGTTTATATTCTTTATAAGATCTAGCAACGGAATTTACATGAAATTTTTTTCTTCAAAGAAATTAATTTTGTAAAGTTAATGGAAAGTGTTCATGATTTGTAGGTTTATTTGTAGAATAGAGTGTCAGGGTAATAAAGAACAGACTATCTGGGAAGCGAAAAACAGCAGATGTACTCATTTATGTAAATGCCAATACATTTTCACTGGACATGATACTAATAGTACTCCTAGTTTTTTCAATAGCAATTTAGGGTCTACATTTCCATATATACATATTGACTAATATAAAAAAACATTTCAAAAAATGACTCAGAAAACCAATAATTTATTTTTCATTTCCCATTAAAAAAACAATAGTCCAGTAATAGTTCAATCACCGTTTCTAAAGTTATTAAAGGGTTACGTAACAATAAGGAGCAGCCCAAGGCAGAGAGAGGGGAAACAGAGAACAGAAGGGAGGAATAAGGATGAGAACACAAAGGTTCTGGATAATTTCTTATGTGATGTCACCCTTCAAAATTAATTTTAATGTCTTATCTAAGACCCCTAAATATGAACTTTATACTCATTACTTGCTTACAATGAGCAATTCCTCCTCCAAAAATATTTTAAAAGCTTTTATCACCTTACTAATGGTGATTCAAAAGTTGAATACTACTTTTGGAAGTAGGTCATTAATTGAGTTTGTTCCGTCCCCACAACACTTCCTTCAAAAAAAAAACAAGCTCAAGTACTTGAGCAATGTTCTATGTTTGTCTATCACACTACATTTAACAAGTTATAAATTATTTTTATATTTTATGGTCAAATAAAATTTCTAACAAATAACATTCTTTATTAACATAAACATTACAATAATTTAAAATTAAACTGAAAAAAGGGAGTGAGGCCCAAATCTAAGATTTAGAAATTATTACTTACTGCAGGTACCAATAATTTCTTCACTTCTTCAACTGCTCTCTTCAGTTTGATTTCTGCTCTGTTCTGAGCATCTTCCACAGTGATCAGTACATGTAAATCTTCATTTAGATGCTCCCAGTTGGGCTTGCCTCTATTTTGCTCCTCCTAAAAAATTTATAAAGAACTTTATTACAAATTTTTCTCTTTAAAGAGAGAGTGTATCTTTCAAAATATTAGCCTGTTATCAATTATTTCAGCTATGCTTGCATTATTTTGCTATGATGACATTCAAGACCTTTTGAGTTATTTCCCTGACCAGGAAGGAAAAAAAAAAGAAAAAGCTTGAGTGAGTCAAAAGATAGTTCAACAAATACATGCTACGCACCTACTATGTACACCAGGCATGGAGCCAGATGTGAAGGATACAGTGGTAAGCATGGCAATCACAACCTCTGGAGTGCTCCTATGTACTAAGAAACTTATGATATCATCCTTAAATTACCACGGAAAAAACACTGAGAAGCACGATATTATCTGTATATTTTATTTATGAGTAAATAGAAGGTCATCATGGTTAAGCTAGCCACTTCTCAAGGTCACGGAGCTAAAAAGCTGTCGATTTAGGAGCTGAATTAAAGTTTTCATTCTCAAGTTCAGTGATCTTTCCACTTCATTACAACTGTTTTAATTAACAGTAGTTGTATTCAACATTAGATAAAGTATTTTGCAAACAGACATTGTGTAAGAGAAGTGCTATTTGTTTTAAGTAAAATATTTCATTACAACCACAACAGGAATAAATGTAAGAATAGTTTTAACTGTATTTCTATCAGACCTTACTTAAATTATAAGGCCACTCTTTATATCAAGTCATAAATACTAGCTTCATAGAGAATACCCAAGTTTCCTTTTCTTGATATCTTCTAATCACCTAGTAAAAACTATCCCCATATTGAAAACCTTGTCAAGCTATAACGACGTTCAGAAGTAGAGTTAGCCTTCTACAATTTCTCCTTTCTTCTACATTTCTCCTTCACCTATGATATAATAATTTCGGAATTGCTTCTTGTTTTAAGTTTTAGAGATAATACACATTTATAAATAACTTATAACATAGTTTTAAATTATTTTATATAAAATAAGAATATAAATTTATAAGTAAATAAATACATAAATGGTATATGCAAATGCACCTGACTCATAGCAACGTACCGTAGATAAACAATAAATAGTATCTGCTGTTGGATTCTATCTACCTAATTGTGACATTCCAATAAAAGAAAATAAAGCTGGTATAATAAAACAGCTTTCTACTACAACTCGCACGTTTTGAGCTTAGCCAATAGGCATAAAAATAAAATCTAACAGTAAACTAAATACTTCTGCTTTATATTCAATTAATATCTTTAGAATCAAAATGCATTCATGTGCTGTAAGGGGATATGAAAGATATCAAACAAAGCACACAGCCTTATGTTAGGTTATCTATGTGTTTCCAAAGAGTGAACTGAGAATCAGCACAGTGTCTCACAGGGGCACATGGGATGTCTGAAATTCCAAGGGAAACATGGCAATAATCAGTATCTGTCAGATATTGTGTAAACTACTAGCTCAAATATTTGACTGTTTGAATGTCAGATCATACCACATTCCTTCTGGTGATGTCATATCTTTACAAAGCTAGGTTTTCAGTGGTTGCTGTAATAAGAAGTAAATCCATGCAAAAATCAATGCAAAACAAGAAGGTGGTGGTGTACAACCTGATTCCAAGGTCTGAGAATCTGAACAGCACCCAAGAAAACACAAATGTCATTAACAAATAATGTGGTTGTTTACAAATAAAAATAAAATGTTTAAATTTATGTTTTAATACTGAACTAATTAAACTGTTTTAGAAATAAATATTTAATAAATGGAACTATGTGATATTTCTTTTACCCTAGTGTATACTATAAAAAACTGAGAAATTTGAGAATCAATGAATCAAGAAACTGGAAACCTTGGGAGTATCCATATGGCAAAGAACATAAAATTTGTATAAATACTTCTACTATGGCAAGAAAAATCAGTTTTAAATCCAGATTTTAATTTTTATGTTGAAAAATGTTAACAATTATTTTCCCACCAAAATCTGTAATTTTGTCTTTTCTCTGTAGAGAGACCTACAAAAGTTACTGGTATTATTTGGTGGATCTGAAAGTGTGCCTATTTGCCTAAATCCATATGTGTAAGGGACTTCCGCTTCTAGTCAAAATGAAGGAACAAGAACCAGATTCACCCTCTCCTCTGAAACAATTATGAAACAGGCAAAACATGAAACAACAGTTTCAAGTCACTGGACATCAGATAACTAAGAATAAGGATGGCAAAAGAAAATGAGGTGAGTCTACCACTGTCCCAGCTTACTGGCTTGAGAGTCTCCAGATCGACTCCCTGAGTTGAGAGCACTGGGCAAGAGTTCTCCCTGAGTAAGGAGACTAGGCAAGAGTCCAGGGAAACTAAAGCAGCTAGAGTTCACAGATATGAGTTCTGGAGAGAACTGCACACAAAGAACCCTGGAGAACTGCTCAGCTGAATACTTGAGTGCGTGACTGGGAAGAAATTCCAGAGGCCAGGGAAGGAAACACCCCAAAGGATTCGAGGTCAAAGTTACTGGTTCTCAAACAGAGACAGAGTGAAAGACTCTGTGATTCACAAACAGTGACTGAAGTACACAAAGGGTCTTACCTCAGTAGTGGGAAATAATTAAATCTAGTTTGAGCATTTTTCCAGTACAGCCTAAACAAATTTTAAATGTAAGACCTAAAAGCATCAAATTGCTTCCAACTAACTTAACTGTATCCCAGAACAAAACTCAAGGATATTTATAGGAATACAAAAATATCCACCCAACAAGGTAAAATTGATACTATCTGGTATACAATTAGAAATTACCAGCCATGCAAAGAAGCAAGAAAATATGACATATATGAGGTGGAAAAAAACCAATCGATCAAAACCAATCTAGAAGTGACACAAATGTTATAATCAGTAGACAAAGACATTAAAAGCTATTTGTGTGTGTGTGTCAGATACTAAGCATACAGTTAATAATACAAGTAGGGAACATCTGTAATACAAAATATTTCGGGAAAACTTAAGAGTAAAAACTAAAATCATGACTAGCCACAGAAACTTTTAAATATGGTAAAGACAAAAGCCAGAGGATTTAAAAAGGAGATACTATTTGCATGATAGGAACAATAAAGATGGAATATAATTTGCCATTTGCTTTACTAAATAAATTTCTGAGTTGTAAAACACTTTGGCAAATGTATACTCTTAATTCAACAACTTAAATGACAGTTAAAAATTCAAAAATATGAGAAAGGTACATGTATCCTAATGTATGCTTTAAAAAAACTATTTTTGCTTACAGTTTCAGAAACAGTTAAAACAAAAACTCCGAAAGATGGTGACATTAACGGACTCATGTACTTTTTTACTCTCTCCTAAAATTCTTCTAAAACATTGTATAAAGTTTAAAATGTACAAACTCATAAGAAAGAAAATGGAAAATAAACAAAAAAAATCAGTCTAGAAAGCAGACGGCTAACTTGAACAGACTTAGCATACTCCAGCTGAGGGAACCTGATTTCAGTGCAAACTCCCACCCAAAAAGCTGAGGAAACTGGCTGTAGCTGAAATGAGGGTGAGGGTGGGGTGGAGACTGGTGGACTAAATGAATTCTCATGGAGAAGCAGTTCAATCCCCACATTCCTTATCCACAAATAGCTAGCTATCTAGGACTCCCTAGTTCCCAGCAAGAGACTAGAAATTAATTCCTTAAGCAAGTAAAACCCTCCCTAGAACTACATGAGGGGAAGCTGCTAACACATACACTGAAGACTTAGCTGTCCAGCCGTCTCCTCCACTCCACAGCTAGAGCGAAGGTAGCCAGGCCCACACACTCTGGGGAGGCTGGCCAGCCCAAAAAACAAACACCATGAACAAATACAACCAGAGTAGGGAGACAAAAACTTCAAAAATCCACAGAGAGTTAAGAGCTACATCCCTGAAACAAGAATGCTATTAAATATTTTTAAAAATTCAAAACATAAAAAGGAACCTCTGAAACTATTTCTGTGATAGTAGAAATAAAAAACTTGATAGAATTGCTGGGCGTGGTGGCTCTTGCCTGTAATCCTAGCACTTTGGGAGGCCGAGGTGGGAGGACTGTTTGAGGCCAGGAGTTGGAGACCAGCCTGAGCAAGAACAAGACCCGTCTCTACAAAAAATAGAAAAATTAGCTGGAGTGGTGGTGCACGTCTCTAGTACTAGCTACTTGGGAGGTTGAGGTAGGAGGATCATTTGAGCCCAGGACTTGGCACCTGCAGTGAGCTATGACGACACCACTGCACCCTAGCCTGGGTGACAGACTGAGACCTTGTCTCAGTAAAAGAAAAAAGAAAAAGAAAAAGAAAAAAAACTTGATAGAAGGGTTGGAAGATAAAAATTGAGGAATTCTCCCTAAGTATCAGAAAACAGAAGTGGAAAATGGTAGATAATCATATAACACTTAGGACTAGTCCAAGAGGTTCAGAAACTGAATGACAAAGGCCCCACCAACATAAAGAAAAAGCAAGCAGAGGGATAAAAATCATCAACATTACGAATACTTTTTAAACAAAATAGAAGGATATGAGCTTCCAGATTAGATTAAAAGGAACCACTGAGTTCTCACCACAATGAATAAATGAAAAAAAAGTTCAAAATCAACTATTAATAGAAGCAATGTAAGCACATGATATAGCAATGGAGAGTAAATGCCAAAAGCCATCTCTTTTGAAGAACAGGAAGTGAGTGGTGGTGGTGGTTAGACAGCAGAGAAAGGGAGAGAGATACCCCTGTTTTCCCATCAGGCCTTATAAAATCTTTAATCCATGTGCATCTCAAACTTCATGCCAAAAAAAGGCTTTAAGATCATTCTACCCAGAAGCCGCATTTATCCTATTGTAGTCCATTCTATTAAAAGCTCAAGAAGAGTTAAGGTTAAGTGAATTCCTTCAACAGTGAGTTTGGATCCTAGTAATTGTTTAATATATATAGAATTTCTCCCTGTGATCTCATTCTGTTTCTTAAACACATTATATAAAGACATTCTGAGATTGATAGATATTATAAAG